CGCAGCTTGTGACACAGACGTATTCCGTTTTTCTGCTGGCCGCCTTGATGGCCTTGCAACTGGGCCACACTTGGAACCTCCAAAGTCGAACTGGGCCCGCCCGCTCAACGCTCCGCCGTATTTAGCTTTTCCTTTAGCCGCTGCTATTGTATACACTTTTGGTGGACTTGCGACTGACACAGAAACGCGAGTCTTAACCCAGCAAGGCGCTATTCCTAACCTCTACGCCGCAGGTGAGATTACCGGCCATTTCCACGACACCGCACCAAATGCTGTTGCTGTTTTACGCGCGCTCGTCTTTGGGCGCATTGCTGGGCTCAATGCAATGAGCTCGAAGTAGATGGTGGGTTTAGTAGCCAGTGGAGATGTATGCATTAAGCAACCTTTCAACTTAGCATAACCTCATAGCTGGCTTGTGTGAACACCTTGTCGAGCTCTGAAACACACACGGAGTTCTAGCAATCGATTGTGAAATTCTAGACATACAGTTTGAGTTTCCAGGTACAGCCAAGACATTCTCAGGAACAGTTAGTGATTTTCCATCTTATTCGTTGCACGTTCTGGTTCGAATACTATTGTACAGTTTAGGGTGTTTGACTGACGGCAAAGCGAATTGTACGTGAAAGCTATTATTCGATGAAAAACGTCACTGCGTGAATGTGGACAATCGGTTGGAATGACCGAGGCGCAGGGGAAACAAATCACGAGGGTCACCACAGGCAAAGGACCGCGTGAGCGATCACGCCATGAAAGCTGTCGCGCCATGACAACAGCCACACCATGAAAGCTCACGCCATGAAACTTGCCATTCCATGAAACCTACCATTCTATAAAACCTACCATCGGTCACTTTTACGATAGCCTAGCTGGCAAGGGTAGCGGAATTACGACGACCGGAGGCGACGAATGAACCTGCCAGCGGTTGACATTGTATGCCTGCGCCGGACGAGAAATACTGGGACTCGTGGTGATCTGTCGGTGCGTTTCACCACCGGTCAACAAGACGCGCCAGATGGAGGCAGTTTCAGCGCGAGGATAAAAGATAGTGTGGAAGATGACCTGGCCCACGGTCAAACACCGGGTCCTCGATCTTTTCCAGGCGTCATTGGAAGAAGGCACGCTGCCGAAACAGTGGCGACACGCAAAGATCATTCCGCTGAGAAAACCGAACAAGGAAGACTACACCATTGCCAAGGCATGGAGGCCGATCTCACTGCTCGCCATATTAGGCAAGATCCTGGAGTCAGTGGTGGCAGAAAGGATCTCGTACGCAGTGGAGACCTACGGCCTGCTCCCGACCAGTTACTTCGGGGCCCGAAAGCAGCGGTCCGCGGAGCAAGCACTCTTACTCCTACAGGAGCAAATCTACGCAGCGTGGCGGGGGCGACGGGTGCTGAGCCTGATTAGCTTTGATGTCAAGGGGGCCTACAATGGGGTCTGTAAGGAACGATTGATCTAGAGGATGAAGGTGCGAGGTATACCGGAAGTTCTGCTTCGGTAGGTTGAGGCGTTCTGTTCAGGACGAACGGCGGCTATCCAGATCAATAGGCAGCTGTCCGAGGTTTAAGACCTGCCACAGGCTGGACTGCCTCAGGGCTCGCCCCTGTCTCCTATCCTATTTCTCTTCTTCAACGCCGACCTCGTACAGAGACCGATCGACGGCTAAGGAGGGGCAATTACCTTCATAGATGACTTCACTGCGTAGGTAACAGGGCCAACCGTGCAGAATAATCAGGACGGTATCGCAAATATCGTTAATGAAGCGCTTAACTAGGAGAAGAGGAGTAGGGCAACTTTTAAAGCAGACAAAACGGCGATTATACATTTAGCACCTAAGGCTCGCAAAGTAGATTAAGAGCCGTTTACTATCAAGGGACAGACGGTTGTACCTAAGAACAAGGTCAAAATCCTCGGGGTCCTAATGGACACACAATTGAAGTACAAGGAACATATTGCCAGGGCAGCGTCCAAAGGTCTAGAGGCAGCGATGGAGCTTCGACGACTTCGAGGTCTCTCTCTAGCGACAGCGCGGCAGTTGTTCTCGTCGACAGTAGCTCCAGTGGTAGACTATGCCTCGAACGTCTGGATGCACACCTTTAAGAATCAAAACATAGGACCGATCAACCGGGTGCAAAGGGTAGGAGCGCAAGCAATTATGGGCACATTCCTCACCGTTGCGACTAGCGTAGCGGAGGCCGAGGCCTATATCGCTACGATTCTGGAGACGAGCCGTGAAGATGTGGACAGACCTCTATACGCTACCGGAAACCAACCCTCTCCGCAGAAACACAGATCGGATCAGGAAGTTCAGGAGATACTACCGCTCACCATTATACCAAGTAGCAGATACGCTGAAAAACATTGATATGGACTCGCTGGAAACCATCGACCCTTTTACACTGGCACCATGGGAAGCATGCGTGCAGACTGATGAGCCTATCTCAGAGGGATCAACTGTACCAGGCGGGTCAATGCAGATTGCGTTCAGCAGCTTAGTGCGGAACGAGCTGGTCGGATTTGGTGTGGCGATTGAGAAACAACCACTACGCTATCGGAAAGTGAGACTGAAGACCTTGTCCGTTACTTTGAGTACGAGAACAGAGCAAAATCTATTTGCTGCAGAGTTGGCGGCAATGGCGCATATACTGAAGATACTTGTGGGATTGAAAGACTTTAGGATTACGTTGATCACAAGCAACAAAGCGGTAGCTCTCACGCTGAAGAATCTGCGACAACAGTTAGGCCAGGAATTTATCTGTTAAATCTATAAGCTGATAAGAAGACTGCAGAAGTATAGAAATCAGATCAGCGTCCGGTAGATCCCTACTAGCGAAGACAACAAACTACTAGGGCTGGCGAAAGAGCACGCGAGACCCGCGACGCAAGAAGATGCTATCCTGCAAGGACAGGTTCCCAAAATAAAATTGACCACTCTAAAGTATTGTAGGTTTGAGCAGGCAGTGCTGATTGATTATAGGGTATAATAGGGAGCTTAGGCTATTTCTGCGTTAGTATACAACTAAGAGTCTTATATTATGTTACAAATAAGCTTGAGTTACTATAGTTTAAGTGTTGATGCTATATCTACCCGGCAGTGCTGTAGCCACCATTGCCTACGGGGTTCTGTCTGTTGGCTACGTTAGTCGGTCACGGACAACATTGTTACGTGCGACGTTTCTTTCTCCAATAACATTCGCTCTACTGCTGTGCTATGCTGCTTCCTTAACTAGGCTGTGCCTCTACTGCTGGAGGCGGGGCTGCTACTGCCTGCAATATAAGGGGGCTCTTCTCTCTCTTTGACCTAGTTAAGGGCTCGTCAGCCTTTGTCACTAATTAATTTTCCCTGATAGTATCGTCAATGTACTATTCCTCTTACGAAACCACGTTATATCTTCTACATAGCCTATCCCCTACGAGATACCTTCTAAATCGGCTGGATCTGTGCCCTTCTGATCGAGGCTGCAGCTGCTACCGAAATACTAGATAAGAAATTCGGAATTCTTAAGGAGCAAGATACAGCAGATTTAAATACCTATACGTTAGGCCGAATTAGCAAATATTACGTTATAATCGTCTGCCTCCCTAGAGGCTAGTACAGAACTACGTTAGCTACTACGGTTGTAAATAATATACTTTGTACCTTCTCTAAGTTACTTTAAATCAGACTGATAGTCAGTATCGGGGGTAGAATCCCTTTAGCTACTTATAATATCCGTCTCGGCAATGCCGTTATTAGCTGTCCTAAAGGTACTTACGGTAGGGTGATTTAATACGATATAGGTAAGATTATTGCAGATAGTAAATTTAAACGAACTAGCTTACTAAACAGTCCCCCGAGGGTACTTTTAACTACAGTTAGTATAATAAGAGCTGCCGGGCTAACAGATAATCCCTACTACCCAGAATATCTCTAAAACGTAATTAGAAGAACTAATCGAACTTAGAAAAATTTTGGCCGGCCTACTGTAAATTCTGATCAACTTTTTCAGATAAAATATAATTATCCTCCTAGTGCAAACAGCTATAATAGATGTCTAGCAGAGTAGGAAGAGACCAGAGGTAAATACAAGGACAAGGATCTACAGCCCTATTATAGTATTATTGCTTCTAGTAATAAGGTTATTAAGTACGGTCGGATAAGAGAGCAACTTTGTTTAGAGACTAGGGTATTATACTTCGAAATAGAGGTAGCTGGTCTGATGTTAGACTTTCCCTGTATTGTTATCCTCGGTATTTATGATTATGCCGACTCGTATAAGAATAAGTAATAGCAGGGATATTCTGCCCTAGCAGCCGCAGTATATACAAAAGAGCTGTTAGGGTATATCCCTGTTGGCCATGTTTTATAAGAGAGCTTAGTAGTAGAACTATACAGTAAGTAAAAATCAATCCTAGCTTAATTAATATTTATATCTATAAGATAGCTTGAAAGCTGAAATCAGAGGTATAAAACGAAGCTTAGACCAAGTAAATAGTTAATAAGACAAATATCGTCAGCAGAAGGTTGTATTTGCTTTAACAGATTAGCAATACTGCTGTTACTAAACTTTCAAGGTATTAAGGTATAAGGAGCAAAAGAACATTAATCCTAGAAAACTAGAAGCAATCTGCCTATAGGCTTTACAGAGTACCGAATATATCCGTTGTTCGGAGAGCACCTATAATAATCTTCTCTAGGTGTCGGCTAACCCGGGCTGCAGGAAATCTGTACTTTTCCGATCTATAATTAAAGACTGCTTAGAAACTTCTTGTCCAGAAGTAATAATCTGTTACTTTTTCTTTAAAGACAACGATAAACAGAATTATCTTGCTTTAGCACTTTGCTCGGTACTTTATTAGCTTTTTAGCCAGCGGCCTATGCTGTTGTATAATACTATACTATCTTGGGAAAAAAAATAGGAAGAAGCTTTGATAAGAGGTTGACGAACTGTAGAAGATTTTTACTAGTATTATTTTAGCTAATAAATTATATAAGATAATTTGTATATTCAATGCTCTTAATGAGTATCGTAAGACTAATTAGAATAGACTAATCAAAAAGCTGCAGGCATTTTATGACTTGCTACAACCGTCGATACAGAATAATTAGTTAAAATTTCTTGTTACTAGTCGCCCCTATAATAATATCTAGATTAGTTTCTAAATAAATAAGGGCCTTTTCCTATATCTTCACCTGAGAGAGGAGAACAAAAATAAACAGATCCGCCATAAAATAGATCTTATCGTGAAAATGCGAGTAAAGGAGCTCGCAGAAAGAGCGGCGTTGTTACGGGACACCGAGCAAAAACTCCAGAAACAGCTTCTGCAAATGGAACACCGTACGTATCTCTGGCTATATTTAGCTATAGAATATATTCAATCTATACTTGAGGACAGTCTTCGCCCGGCTGAAGAGTTAATTAGAGAGTCAATCGAGGTAATACCTCAATCAGTAGATGAGACATACGAAAATATTCTTAGTCGAGTGTCTTTCCGCTAAGTAGACATTGCGAGAAAGATCTTACAAATTATTGTGGCAGCACGGCGCCCTTTAACAACAGCGGAAATAGCCATAGCGCTAGGAATTACCACCTCCCTATAAGCCCAAACTGTAGCAAAGGCTAGACTTAAATTATCTTAAATCGACAAAAAGCTGCGTCGATTATATAGACTATTTATCTTCATCAAAAACTCCAAAATCTACTTAATTCATCAGACAGCCAGGGAATTTCTTGTAAACAAGAGTATATCTAAGAGCCTGAACTACTTATACTCGTAGAGCCTGACTGACACCGAGGATCAAATGGCTGTTATCTGTTTGCGATACCTACTGATAGAGGATCTAGAACATAACGATGCGGATTCAAGCTCTACCATTCGAAGCTTCCTAGATTACTCAGCAGTATATTGGCCGGACCAGATACGGAAGATAAGTCTGGCCCAAGACCAAGAAGCAGCGGGTTAAGTTAGGGAAATATACGATATGGGTAGGAAAAGATTCTCATTATGGTTTCCTATCTTTTAGAAGGCTATTAAGACTTACAGAGTTCCACCATCAATAAGTACTTTACATCTGGCATCATTAAACGGGCATAAGCAGGAGGTTAAGTTTTTACTAGCTCTCGGTAGAAAAGACATCAATTCGACCGATGACACCAGAACCTACCCTATCATCTCGGCCTCAATAAATAGTTATAAGAAGGTCGTTCAGTTGTTGCTCGAGAAAGGAGCTAAGGTCAACGCCCGAGTTGGGCTGTATAGAGCCAGGCGGTGTGAAAGTAGGCGTTTTAGAAATACTCTCCAAGCCGCATCTTGCAAAGGACATAATAAGGTTGTGCAGTTATTGCTTAAGAAAGGAGCCAAGGTCAACGCGCAGGGTAGGGTCTTTGGGAATGCTCTCCAAGCTACGTCTCACGAAGGACACGATAAGGTTGTGCAGTTGTTGCTCGAGAAAGGAGCCGAAGTCAACGCCCAAGGTGGGCGGTACCTGTATAACAATGCTCTTCAAGCTGCGTCTCACGAAGGACACGATAAGGTTGTACAGTTGTTGCTTGAGAAAGGAGCCGAGATCGATGCCGAGGGTAGAGAATTTGGAACTCCTCTCTAAGGTGCGTCTTACGAAGGACATAACAAGGTTGTACAGTTACTGCTGGAAAAAAGAGCCGAGGTCAACGCGCAGGGTGGAGTCTTTAGGAATGCTCTCCAAGCTGCGTCTCACGAAGGGCATGATAAGATTGTACAGTTGTTGATTGAGAAAGAAGCCGAGATCAACGCGCAGGGTGGTGAATTTGGAAATACTCTCCAAGCTGCGTCTTCCAAAGGACATAATATGGTTGTACGGTTGTTGATTAAGAAGGGAGCCGAGGTCAACGCACAAGGTGGACAGTATGGAAATGCTCTCTAAAATACGTCTGTCGGAGAATTCACTTAGATGAGAATGTGGAGATCGTCCAAAACAGCTGGTTCCTAATTAGTCCACATTCCTCCTCTCTCTTACGAGATCAAAGACCCCATGACCTCTGGAATTTGTAGCTCAAGTAGCTCCTTTTGTCAAACAATTTTTTTAACTCAATGGCTTGCTATTGTCTACATATCGCTATATGTCTTGCTGAACATGTATTTACTGTACTTCGCATTATTATTAGAAGCAATTTCTGTCTATTGATTAACAATTTCTATCATGCTATCGTACTTATGCTGGGGATTCTTACAGGAGCGTTTTAGAAACATGGTGGTTTTGTAAATAACCCGTATTGGACTGTATTTGTATCGTTATATTCATGAACTCTATCTTTGTAACTGTAGTGGACAAGTACTTAATATTACATCCAATGAGTGCACAGTGCACGGAGCATAGTACAATCACGAGTATCCACCTATCCACGTATCTTACCTCCGTTGGGGCCCATAGGCCTTAATAGGCTTGGTTCCAGCCTACTGGTTTCGCACTAACCCTTTTAGGACCCCGACCACCTATTGCGGGGACAGTTCAATGGCGAAGAACCAGATTACTTGTTCGAGACCCAGAAATCTCGTTCATTCTTATTGAGACTTTGAGTGCACTTCAAGATATATATTCTACGGGGGTAAGCCCATTTCAAATCTATCATGTTCATCGCATGAAGTGGATTAACAGTAACCGTTCATAACATAGCCCAGGGACATTCTGCTGACAATGGCCGCTGCACCAAACCCAATGCTGATGTCCACAAAACGCATCTTCCTACGTCGTTTGTTTCCTAGTGATTTTAAGCTTCTCTGTCTCCTAAACAACGACGAAGGTGTTATGACATACCTAGACCATAAACCACCCTCAATGGAAGAAGTCAATCTCGAAGTTCAGCATATCATTAATTACTATGCCAGATGGCCGAACTTCGGCCGGTGGATTGCAGAGGGTCCTAGAGGCGAGTTTCTCGGCTGGTTCTCTCTCGCAGGATCGGAGCAGGAAATGCCAGCTACGCTTGAAGTAGGCTACCGGCTCCGTCGCCAATATTGGGGCATGGGTCTTGCAACCGAGGGTACTCGTCTACTTCTTGAGTATGCATTTTTGCATAACCTAAAGGTGGAGCGGGTTATTGGAAGCACGATGTTTATCAATGAGCGATCTCGGCACGTGATGGAGAAATGTGGAATGAGACATGAAAGGACGTTTCATATTAGCTTTGAGCATCCGCTGCCTGGTACTGAGCATGGTGAAGTGTTGTATGAGATTACCAAGGAAGAGTGGAAGAAGCAACAGACCTAAGACCATAGGGTAACGGATGGATGGCGGATTGGAGGGTGTTGATGTGCAGTGGAACTGAGCGGGTGCCGAGCGGTGAAATTGGGCAATCAAATATACCCCCTTGCGCCGGTCTCAACACCTGATACACCTTGGACTTCTTGACCGGCTGCAAACATACGAGACTTTCAATACCGTTGGAATAAGTGTCATTGTTATCGCGATAGGCCTTCGTTTCGATAAAGGAGCTGAAGATCTTGATTCAACTCGGAATAGCTTCGAGGCTTACAATGTGCGAAATTACTCATGTGGATCAGCTTCAGAAGCTCTCAAGCAGCAACCTACGACGGCAAAGGCCAGTGGAAAGCTTTAGCCCCACGAGATCGGGGGTAACCCTGCAATATTGTGGCCCTCCCGAACATCTGTAGACCGTCGTGGCTTCTTTCGAGTTCTCTTCGGTGTTCAAATCCTGTCGCTAGTTAGTTCATTTCGTCCAAAAGCTATTGATATCACCTTGAGGCGGTATTCTGTAACACATGTGAAATGGATTCTCTCAAAAGAATAAAGAGAATCAACAGGACGCTGGAATTTGATTGTGAAAACGCGGTAAAGCGCATTTAAGCCAAAATATAAGCTCCTGCTTGATAGCTTCTTGTAATTCTTGCCGAAGTCGGACAAATCCATCTATCTCTGCGCTAACCCATAGAAACCCTGTCAAGGCGAGAAAGATTCAGTTGTCGGTAAGATAGGAGCGTATACAAAGCACTAGATGATTAAAGAACTTATTCAGAGGGGCTCTGGATAGCTGAAACTTGTGGGTGAGCCGTGCAGATCCTGATCGAAGACTTCTTTGCTCCCAAGCCATCGATCTCAGGTCTCCATGTTTCGGTAGCACTTTCTGCTACTGATGCCTGGAACAGTTCAAGGACACTGTGCTTGACCGTGTGCCACATCATTTCCCACACTATCACCGGTAGACCGTCGTCTCCAGGCGCTTTCCACGAGTTCTCCACGAGTAAGTGCCGTTCTATCTCCTCCAGCGTGACGGCAGGCATATCTACTGGCGCTCTTTGAGGTCCAGTTCCTTCATCGTCAATGTTGTCCGGTAGAGGTGGGAAGGACTTGGCCAATAATACTTCTGCTTGTTCTTTATGGTCGGTCGTGATAGTTCTATCTGCTCTGATGAGCTGCGGTACCTTCCCGATCGTTGTCTTCTCTCCTAACTTCAAATATTTGGCAGCTTTCTATATATTGTCATTGTCTGCAAGAAGTCATTCTAGTGCTTCTTCTTCTGTCGCCGGATGGCATCGCGATATTGTTTCGCCACACCTTCAGCCGCCTTTTCCAGGTGTAGTACCTTTCACCCCGCCCGGCGCTCAAACCAGGCGTAATTTCTCTCGCATGTATAGATATGACGCAGTTGTATTAAATCACTTGTCTACCATCGCTTTGCGTGTGGTGACGGCTTGGCCTTTGGGATCAGGGCGTGTACTGCACGCAGACATGAGTCAGTCGAGGATTCATTCATCCGACGGATGGAATTCATGTCCAACTTGTCTAAGGTAATTATTAATCAATCAATATTGATTGTTAATCTGGGACTATTGTACACAGGTGTACGCAAAAGGTATATATAAGAGCATGACCAAGAAAAGGTTGCACTCGCTCCTTGTTCAAGCCGAGCCTGGCTTTGAATTTACGCCGTCATGAAAGTTGCTGTCTTTGGATCAACCGGTGAAACCGACCAGTCGATTGTTAGCGCCCTACTTGACTCGCCGGAAATATCTGTATGTTCAAGCGGATAAGTGTATTGTGAATGCTACTAAAACTCTACGCAGGAGCTCATAGCTCTGATTCGGCCTTCATCGCTAGAGAAGAAAGGAGAGGCTGCGCTCAGGGACCGTGGGGTGAAAATCACTGCAGCAGATCCAACAGTTGCGCATACTCAGATAGTTCCAATTTTGACCGGAATCGGCTTTGTGATCTGTTGTGTCCCCCCGCATGTTTTTGATGAATAAGATACTCTTGCTACTGCGGCCAAGGAGTCAGGCGTGAAACGCTTCGTGCCGAGTTTCTGGGGACCCATCATTCCCGCACGAGGTCTAAGTAGCATCCGTGAAAAGGTAAATGAAGTTCCTTCATGCAACATAGCAATTATGTCAGAACCCGAAATTAACCCTGGAGTAGAAAGAGGAGGTGTTAGATCATGTGAAACGCCTCTATCTACCGTATACTGCCATCGATATCGGTTAGTAGGCCCAACTTTCGGTGCCTTAACTGCCGTCGGGGAGAATCAATTCCTATATTCGAGTCCCGTTAACAAATATCAGCGGCGATGGAAACATTGGGATCGCTCTGACGGATGTGCGAGACATCGGCCGGTTCGTCGCCAAGATAATTGTTGATCCCCGAACGTTGAACAGGATTGGTCTTCGCCTATAGTGAGATGTGGACGCAGAATCAGATTTGGGATTTGCTTTAAGAAAAATTTAGTGAGCAGCTTCCTAGAGAATATGTAAGCGACTGCCTAACTTTCCTAATAAAAACTTTGCCTTGCTAAGCACATACTATACTCACAGAACTCCGCCGAGGCGATTTTAGAGGCTATTCGCTTGTCCAAAGAAGCGATCGATCAAGGATCTGTTGACTTCAAAACGTAATTGCAGTTTAACGGTGGGCAGTATATGTACTCGTAGGGATCCGCAGGGATAGCTCTCCTGCGTGTATAAAATATCTCGGCTACCTAGATGCCTATAGTCTCTACCCAGACCTTGTAGCGCGAAAGTTTGATGATTACGTCTGTAATGTATTGCAAGGAACGGCAGAAAGCATTTACGGGTCGAGTCTGGAATAGAAGTCTTCAGTGAATTAATTGTGTACCGATACAGTACTGTATCTTTGTTGAAACTCTTGCATTGTTACCTTGCATCAATTAAACAAGAAAACCGTTTAATCTGAGTCACCCGCTGTATCGACGCCATTAATTCAGGGATATTAAGCCTAGGAAATACCCAGACGCTGTTTAAAAATTAAGAGAATCCGTATATGGGGAGGTTGACATGCAGGGGGGTTTAAAAGCTCTCAGAATCGCGGGCTAGCTTCCTAGGGGTGTTAAGCCTGTCTCTGAGAACGTGAAACACTTGGGAGGTATTGCCAGGATATTCCTCTTGTAGATTTTCAGATCCGAGGTTTGTGCCCAAAAGAATTATTTGACTTTGTGCATCTCAACTGTATCTTATCTGCCATCCTGGTTGGCCTTTTTTGTGGCAATATATTACCTCTGTGGTTTCAAATTCTTCTTGGGGTCACTTCTACACTCCCATCACTACAGATAGTACGTTTCAAGTCTCAACAATAATCTATTTATTGGACTAGACGTCGCTCAGTTCCTCCGTGTCAATTTTCAGCAGCTTAGTAGCCCAATTATACCGCGATATGTACAACAAATCTTCCTTTTTTACGCTTTAATCTCTACTTTATTGAAAATATTGGCAATATCCGTTGGTACATTTTGATAGACAACATTCATCACACCATATCTTTCTTGATTTTCTCTGACTACTGGAGCATCACAGCTTGGTATTAGTGGCTAGAAAGGTTTTCAATACAGACAAAGAGAGTTCTGAGTAGTATCATCGCCCAATTCTCTTCTCTGTCCGTTCTGCTGCTTGCTGTCGCTATCATAGGCACAGTCTCAAACCATCGAATCATGGCAATTGAAATATTATCTTTATATCTGAGCTTGTGATGAAATTAGAATCACAAATCTCAGAATCAGCTGATATTAAGCCCTATCAGCGCATTTTCTTTGCAGTTGACCACCTTGCAAACAGAAATGGGGTATCCCCTCCCATGCTCTGACCGAATTGGACTGATACCAAACGGTCTATCAATTAATGGAGTAGTATTTGGGTTAGTGAAAATAGCAAGGAATTTATAACCCTTCTAGTTAGAAGGTAAGCGCTAGAAGGATGAAGTCTTGAAGGGATACGATCTCAGATCTTCCATCTGCTAACGTATTGTGGACTAATACTTTATATGAAAAAAAATTCAAAATTCAAAAGAAATTTAGACGCCTCGAGAGCTATCTATACATATACCTCCACACTCTTGCGACTTCATTCCCGGAAAATAATTCCGAGATACGCTAGTCCTGTTAACGTAATTCTGTCGGTATCAGTGGGGAATTGGTATTGTAAGGCATGGTCAGAATGTATCATTGTAACTTAGCCAAGAGTCTTAATCACGGTCGGTCGCATACAAATTAGTATGTGAGCGAACATAACAAGAATCAGACAACTACCCATAGACCTGATTGGACGTACATTTCTGTTCCGACACAAATCATACGCTCTACTCACTAAAGAGTGGGCCTCGTGAGAGAAGCCGATAAGTGGGTCGCCACCGCCACAAAACCCGATCTAGTCAGTATTTAGTTCCCTCGTTCAAGCTTTAGGCTGATTCGCTTATCTATCTGTAATATCAAAAGGTTATAACTATCGCCACAGAGCATCATTTACTAAGCCGATTTAAGTAGTTTTTAGTTCATTTATTTAAGTGGGTTATTCATCTATGTATCGTTGGTCATAACGTCACAGAGCATAAGTCACTAAGTAAGGGGCTTGATCAACCATGTAATTGTTCCTAAACTTTTAGTGATAGTACAGTTAGAAGCAAAGGAAGATATGGAAATGGGTAATTCAATGTTTACTTGCTTAACACCGAGATTTCGGTTAGTCAGGATTGAAGTGGTGAAATCATTAGGCAGTATGAAAACCGCCATGTGTAACTTTTGCGATTAAGCTAAGGACATGGTGCTCTTCGAGACTTATCGTATCGCGGAGAGGTGACGAGGTCTATATGTAATCAGCATGAAGAGGATCGATTGAATACGGCCACACTCTTATCTAATTGTGGATGGTTTCAAGATCAGCAAGGGAAGTACGAAGAAGGGGAAGCGATGCATCGACGGGCGTTGGAAGCACGAGAGAAGGTGCTTGGACATGAGCATCCCGACACGCTCACCAGTGTCAGTAATCTTGGCTCAGTGCTCTCCAGCCAAGGTAAACATGAAGACGCAGAACCGATGTATGACGGGTACTAGAAAGATATGTGGATGTGTCTGGACGTGAATATTCCGAAACAGTGATCAGTCTCCATATTCGTGACTTCCGCGATCAACACGGGAAACTTGAAGAGACTTGGTAACCCCAGACCTGTATTTATAGCATTTATTGTTGAGTCAGCATAATGCACATAGTTATAACATCCATACTTTGTGACTCCTCCTGCAGCAATGTATACACTCCTAGTTTGATGCGGTCCCGAAGTACCTTTAAGTTACGCATCGTTTCTACTTCGGATATGCTAGGGGAGGTCAATATCTACTATGATTTGACAATCGCCCATATACTCTTCACGTCAGGTATGAAAATCTTCTGCAACTTATATTTCTTTATGTGAGCGAAAAACCTCTTGAAACTGTCGCTGTGTACTGAGAAAATACTATATGGAAAGATCACACATCAATTCGGCTATCCTAAACCAACTAGATCCTTAATTACACAAGAGCCCTCCTCGAAAGTCTACCTCTCACGCAGCATCATGCGTCCATCAGCCTCCGAAGGATCTAGCCGGACATACATATCTTCCGCTAGTTTCTCTATCCTACTACCAGTCATACAATCATCCCGTTCTACCTGGTCATCTAAGCCATAGAAGAGCAAAGCCAGTATAGATAACTTCTAAATTATCTTGTCTCTGCTGGCATACGTAGTGCAAACAAGAAATACGTTCCCTAATATAACCAGCAACGTTAGAAGAATCATCTATACCTGCTGAACCCTGACCATTACTTCATTAGTGTAGACCATCCCTAGGAGAGTAATATTCGAGTTTTGTAAAAAAGTCTTGGTCATCGAGTCCGCAACCTGCGGCAATATCACGTCTAATCCAAGCTCTATAATTCGAGCAATACTATCGACTGGTGTTCCCCGACTGGTGCATTCCTACCCCGACTTGCTGTGCGAACAGTTATCTATGCTTAATCCGATGAATAGATTCGCTACTAATATATTATTCTCCTTATCGCAGTATATAAACTCTAGGCCTGTCACTCGTATCTAAGTACCCTCTAGAGATATAATCTTATAGTAGTATTTGGCGTCCTTTGGTGTTTACCTACTAGGTACCTAGCAAGAAGTTAAGTAAGTTGTGTCGCTGTGTGGAATAGTTATATTTTCAGTCTTTCCGAAGTTAGGCGGAGACTTTTTAATAATAACGTTCCTGCTGGTAACATTAATACTGTACTCTTCGACACATAAGGTAAAGGTGTATTGTATGACATTCTTGATAAAAAAACCTCCTGTTAGGTCTGACGTATTTATAATACGATTTTTGTTAAGTCCTAACGAGGACTGTGCTATAACTATCAGAGGATTTTTGACTCTAGAAAAGGGTAGAAAGTACCCAGAGGATTATAACATCTATACTGTATTTATATTCAAAGTTAACTTACGAGCAGTTCTATTCACGACAGTTACGCTTAATTCCGTATCAGAAGGATAGCCCTAAGGAAGAACAACTTTACATTTCGCAGAAGCCCTAATTCTATTCGGGGTATTGTAAGTCGATAAAGTGTTGTAACTTAGTATAGTACAGTTCAGCGTTGCGGTAGATGTTATATCTAAGTATTTGCTACAGATCCTAAGTGATCTATAGCTTGGCCAGGTACAGTTGCCCGATGGACAGGTTAGTATGATGTTGAAGCCTGTATCCTATATTCCTAGATAGTAAGAACTGGTTATATTGTAACGGGCCCAGGCCCGAGGAGAGATCACGTGGTGTCACGTGACCGTTTCCTGCAGGAAAAACAAGGTGGAAGCTCATATAGATAACTCTTCTTCAAGATTATTGTAAACAGCATACAGGCCTAGCCCCAATTGAACAGTTGTCGCTACAGCCCTTCACATACAATAATCTTCCGATTCAATCGGTAATCGTAAAATTACCCGCGAAG